CCTGGAGTCCAGGTGTCAACCCAGTGATCCTGAAGGACGGCGTTGCTCACCAAGTTCATAGAGAACGAGGGATTATGGAGACCGGACAGCCCACCAGACGGGACCGCCGGGCACGGAAGCACAGTCGTGGCTCGTGCAAGCACTGGGCCCCCAGAGGGGTCAGCCAGCGAGACAGGAACAGGTGCAGGGAGGGGAGTGACTGCGGTACTGTCGCGAAAGAAACAGCGAGAAGCACCAGAGTCAAGTGTAAACGTGTGCAAAGCCTGTGCGGACGCAGTACCAGAGAGGGCAGACTCACTAGCACCTAGGGCTGCAGGCTCTATACCTGGGTCAGGCGGGACACACAAGTAACAGTCACCCTCAGCACTAACAATCAATGCATACATGGCAGCAAGGATTGCATCATAGTCAAGATCATAGACAGGTACATCACGCCTAAGCAAGGATTGCATCATAATCAAGATCATAGACAGGTACATCACGCCTAAGCAGATCTGCCCAGTTGGGGAACTCAGTGGCATCAGGAAACTTGGCGCGCCAGGCGTCGCTGAGGCGCGCAAAGCAACGGTACTCAGTGTGAAAGCCGTTGCACGTGCGGCCCTTGCGAGGGCCAGTGAGAATGACATAGGGGCAGCGACCAGAACCCCCAGACGCCCCACGCCCAGCATACCAGTCATGAAGCTGCTGAGAAGAGGGGGTCTGGCGCCGCTGCTGCTGCTGCTGCTGCTGCTGCTGGCCGGTCCCGCTCCCGCCTCCACCTCCACCACCACTGCCCCCTCCCCCCTTTCCGCCGCTTCCACCGCCACCACTCCCGGTCCCACTGCCACCCCACCCACCTCCTCCACCCCCACGACCACCCCCACTCCCCCCACCACCCCCACCGCCTCCACCACCGCTCCCTCCGCCTCCACCTCCGCCATCCCGGCCACCCTTGCCGCTCCTGCCACCGCCGCGCTTCCCACCAGGAGCGGAAGCTGCTGCGACCTTCTCAGCATCGTGAAGGTCAACAGCAGTAGCAGCTGAGGCGTACGAGGGGGCGAGGGGGGAGGGGGAGCACCCCTCAAAGAGGGGAGTGCGGGGAGTGCCTCGAGCGGCACCTACAGCTAGGATGTTTTTCTCTGCTGCAAGAAGCTGCTGCTCGAAGTCGTCTAGGGTGATCTCGGTGGGATCCATGGCGAGGAAATGGTCCCTGACGGAGCTAAGGGTGTCAGGGAGGCGGGTGACGAGGAGGTAGAGGGTAAAGTAGAGCGGAGGGGGGTTCTTGGCACGGAACTCGTCGGTAAGAGCGGCACAAAAGTGGGCCTCACTATCGCGAAGGTGAGTGATAAGGTCCTCAGCGGTGGGAAAGGAGGACAGGTCAGGGAACAGGTAGGGTAGGATGAGACGTCCGACAGCGGCAGTGGCTGGGGAGGAGTAGCGTGCAACTACTGCGTCATACAGCGCCTTGGCAGTTTTGTGCTGACTGAAATGCGCGCGCTCAGTGATCGGCAGGTGGTTGCGGATAGCGAGGCGCACAGCAGCATCGCGAGTCTGCCACTGTGAGCGGTCAAGAGCAGGAGCACTGTCAGCAGGAGCAGCGGCAGTGCCAGTAGCGTGATCGAAAAGTGATGCACCGTCTTTGGCATCAGTTATAAGGAAAAGCTGCAGATCGTCAAGCCAAGTGGTAAACGCGATCGGGCGACCGTTAGGCTCGAAAGTGAGAACGTTCAGTGTCGCCATGTTAGCAGCGCAAGGCAGGCAGGCAGGCAAAAGGCAGGCAGGCAGGGGCAAAGCAGGCCGTCAAGCGTATCGCAGGTAGGTAGGCGCAAGGCAGGCAGTCAGGCTAAAGGCAGGCAAGCGTAAGGCAAGCAAGCAGGCCCAAGGCAGGCAAGCAGGCTCAAGGTAGGCAGGCAGGCGTGAGGCAGGCAGGTTGGGCAGCGCGGTGGGCTGCGCGGGCGGTGCACGGGAGGCGCGGGCGGCGCGTGGCTCAAGACGGGCTGCGCGGGCCGTGAGACAGGTGGCGCATGGGGCGGCGGGGCAGTGCAGCGGGCCGGCAAGGGGCGCGCAGGGCTGCGGGGCAGTGGAACGGGCGGGGGGCGGGGCTGCGGGGCAGCGAAAGGCGGCGCGCGGGGTTACGGGGCAGAGGCGGGCGGCGCGCGGGACTGCGGGGCAGCGCGACGGGCGGTGCGCGGGGCTGCGGGGCAGTGCGACGGGTGGCGCGACGAGCAGCGCGATGGGCGGTGCGCGGGGCTGCGGGTAGTGCGACGGGCGGCGCGACGGGGAGCGCGACGGGCAGCGCGATGGGCAGCGCGACAGACGGGGGAAGGCAGGCAGGTAGGCTGAGGCAAGGCAAGGCGCGGGGTAGCACGGTAACCGCTAGCGGTTGGCGGCGGGCCCTAAAAAAAATCGATCCTGAGGTCCTAGGGACCTCCTGCTCTGATACCATGTTGAAAACTCTAGGCAGGAATGGTCAACTAAGGACGAGTTTGGGTACAAATATGAAACCCTAATGGGGTTGTACCCCATATTGGCTACCCCACTATATATATCACATATATATTTTGACACATCTACCTCCCAGTCCCTCGTCATGGCTGTTGACACCAACGGTGATGATGACGACGAGGCTCTTTGTCAGGTCTCGCAATACTCACCTTCGTGAACGGGCCTAAGCTCTTAAAAGGGCCTACTAAGCGGCTGCTTGAACTAGAGCACGTCGTCGCCTCTACTGAGCCTGAGACCGCACTGGATGAAGCGGGGTGTGACCTGCGCTCACCTCCAGTCGACACCGGAAAGCCTGAACCTGCGCCATGAGAAGCGACAGCACCTATAACGGAGAATTTCGTTGCTGCTGAAGACACTGCCGCCAAGAAACTTATATCCGGTTCCGATTCGGCACGGGGCAGAAGACTGAGCGATCTGATGATCGCTGCACTTCTGCCCCACTGAGTGTGTGAATTGGGTGAATATAGTTGCGATGTTGAATGCAAGCAAAAAGCGCCGCCCTTCTCAAGAGTTCCTTTATTAACTTCTGCGCTCAGTTTTCACTCCTAAGGTTATTATCTTAGAACAACTATTTGTTAATTTATATTGCATATCTTATAACTGCCTGCAGCTTGCTAGTGTATTAGATTAGTTATTAGAACCAACTGCTGGTGGTGCACCCTTTCCCTTTTGCCCTTGCCTATATCTTTGTATGCCCTCCATTATTCAAACCTCTCTTTTGGCCAATTCCCTCCCTCTCGCTACTCTCGCTATGATTCTCCTTCCTAAGCCTCCTAAACCTAAGTACCTAACTAATTTGTATTATGACATGGTATCAAAGCGTGGTCTTTTCTAGGACCTATTCTTCATGGGCCCACCAACTCCGCCTTCTGCCACGGCGGCCCAATATGCTGCTTGCGCAAAATCTGCTGCTGTTCCCGGAGCTTATGCTGAACCCGTCGCGCTGCCCCCCGTCGCCTTCAATTCGCCTGCCTCTTCGCGGCGCTCAGGGCGACGGTCGCGGCGGACATCATGGCGAGCGCCAGCGACCCGCCAGCGCGTTCGCGAATGCGCCAGCGACAGTCGCCAGCGGGAGCGCGAGTGCCGGCGCCAGCGCCCAGCGCCAGCGACCAGCGCCGACGCCAGCGCCAGCGCCGACGGCGGACGCCAGCGCCAACGCCAACGGCGGAGGCCAGCGCCAGCGCCGACGCCAGCGCCCAGCGCCAACGGCGGTCGCCAGCGCTAGCGCGGACGCTAGCGCCGACGACGGCGCCAGCGCCAGCGCCAACGGCGGGCGCCAGCGCCAGCGCGACGCCAGCGCCCAGCGCCAGCACTTCCGCCAGCGCCAGCGTATGGGGGGGAGGGGGATGAGGGGGTGGCGGGGGTGACCAGCTCCTTGCTCTCTCCCTGCAGCGTCTGTCGCTGTGGGGGGGGGGGGGGGGGGGGGAGGAGGGTGAGGGGGTGGCGGGAGAGCTTCTTCCGCGCCAGCCGCCTCCACTCCTCTCCTCTCCTCTCTCCTCTGCTCCAGCCGCTCCTTCTCTCCTCTCCTCTCCTTCTCTCATCTCCTCTCCTCCAGCCGCCTCCTCCTCGTCTTGGTTGCTCCTTCAGCCGATTCTCCTCGGCTCTCCGCCTGTGCGCCACCAGCTTCCTCCTCCTATCCAACCGTGAGGAGGGTGAGGGGGTGGCGGGAGAGCTTCTTCCGCGCCAGCCGCCTCCACTCCTCTCCTCTCCTCTCTCCTCTGCTCCAGCCGCTCCTTCTCTCCTCTCCTCTCCTTCTCTCATCTCCTCTCCTCCAGCCGCCTCCTCCTCGTCTTGGTTGCTCCTTCAGCCGATTCTCCTCGGCTCTCCGCCTGTGCGCCACCACCGGCTTCCTCCTCCTATCCAACCGTTGGTGTGTAACACCGGCAGCCTACGCCCTCCAAATTAGCCCTCCGCCCTCCGTTCTGGCAGTCAGAGGTGCTGCCGATCAGCCACCGCTGTTTCTGTGCGTATCCCAGCTACAGCAACTGCTCTTCAGGCGACCTGCTACCAGACACCACTAGCTATAGCCGTAGGCAGTTACGGGGGTGTGTTAATTTATATTGCATATCTTATAACTGCCTGCAGCTTGCTAGTGTATTAGATTAGTTATTAGAACCAACTACTGGTGGTGCACCCTTTCCCTTTTGCCCTTGCCTATATCTTTGTATGCCCTCCATTATTCAAACCTCTCTTTTGACCAATTCCCTCCCTCTCGCTACTCTCGCTATGATTCTCCTTCCTAAGCCTCCTAAACCTAAGTACCTAACTAATTTGTATTGTGACACTAGTTGCTTTGTTAGGTAGTGACTTATTTTATATCTAATTCAAGCTTAAATCTCAACAAGCAAGGGTGAAAACTATTTGCGCACTGATGAGCAAGAGTACTTTTTCAGCTGACACTGATAAACAAGACTAACATGGCTGACCCACCCTTACATAAAGACTAACTTCAACGAACTGGCCTTACATGTAAGAGTGTCCCTAATCCTATCCAGAGGCCTGGGTGAAAGGCATCTTCAGCGCTGGAGCATGTCACATCCCTCAGTAGAAAAATGATCGAGCATTCTGAGATCAGAGATATCATGCGGCAGAGCCTTGAGGTGCTTGCAATTATGGATGCCGAGCCTCCTCAGTCCGCTAAGCTGCGCAAAGTTAGGAGGAAGCAGCCGGATGCTGGTGTTGCTGACGTTCAGCTCATGCAGGCAAGAGAGCTGCGTGAGGGAAGCAGGGAGATGCGTGAGGGATGAGCAGAAGGATAAGTCCAGCCTGCGCAGTCTTGAGAATGCGCCAATGGCATCTGGAAGCAGTGCTAATTTGTACGCGTAGATTTGAATGGATGTCAGGTGGTGGAGAGTGGTGATGGCAGCAGGCAGCTCCGTGAGTTCGTCGCGCGTGAAGTCAATGTTTAGCTGCCGTAGCTCCAGCAATGCAGAGCTGTAAGATTCCACCAGCTTCTTCACGCTGCGAGCCTCCTTGAGTGTCAAGGTGCGCAGGCGAGGAAGCCTTGCCAACGCTGCCAGAGACTCTTCTGCATCTTCTCCCAGCGACAGCTCCAGGTGCTCCACACCAGAGAGATGGTCACTGATGGCCTGTAGACAGGTTGCGCAAACAATGCCCAAGCGCAATTCCTTGAGCTCTGTAAGTGTTGGAATGTCTGGCAGAGACACCACCTGCTGATTGTTTTGGTAGGATAGAGCCTGAAGACTGAGCGGCAGAGGCTGAGGGGCTTCGTTCAGCAGCTTACAACCCCTCAGCTCTAGCTGTGTGAGCCTGGTAAGGCTGTCCAGCCTCCTGGGAACCGATGAAAAGCTGGGACACTTATTTATCACGAGCACCCGAAGGCTGACAAGCTTTGTCACAGATTCCGGAATCCCTGTAATGTCTGGGCAGTCCTGAATGTACAGCTCCTGCAGCTTTGCCATCTTCCCACTCCCTCTGGAAGCTCACCAGCCCTGCACTCATCTAGCTCCAACCTGGTCAGCGAAGTCAGCTGCGAGAATGAGCAAGGAAGCTGCTCTCTGCAATTCTGTTTGAAATGGAAGGTTTGGAGATTGGTCAGGCCCCCCATGTCTTCTGGAAGGTCCAGGGTCGGGGAGCACACAAGAGACAGAGTCTTCAGTGCTGTGAGGCAACCAAACCCTGCAGGTAGCTTGCGCACCCCCACGCACCGAACCAGAAGAAACGTCTCCAGAGATGCGAGGCTGGTGAAGGAAGCAGGGAGATGGAGAAGCGGCAGCGAGTACAGCACCAGCGTCTTCAAGGCCGAAAGCTTCCCAAAGTTTTCGGGAAGATTTCTGAACATGCGGCATGTGGAAATGGTCAAGATCTCCAGGCAGGTGAGAGAGGTGAACTGAGCCGTCAGATCGCTGAAGCTTCGGCAGTAACTGATGCTGAGCTCTTGGAGGCGCGGCAGCACCTCTCCTATACTGTTTGGAAGCCGCTCTTGGGTGTAGCAATGGGTAAGCTGCAACCGTTTTAAGGACCTGTATCGTAATTCTGGCGGGAAAAAGTCACTAAACTGTGCAAGCCGCAGTTTTAATTTCAGTGACAGGAGAGAAGGTAGCTGTGCGAGTGAGAAGTCAGGTGTATCTTCTGGGAAAAGGCTAATTTCAGGCAAGGAAAGGCATGTGAGGTTGGTGAGGTGGAGGAGGCTGGAAAGCTGGTCGTAGTGAAGGGAGGAGGTTCCAAAGGAGAGTGCAATGAGAGCGGAAAAGGAGCTGACTTCTGGAGCCGTTAAGATGGAAGCTTTATTGGTCAAGGCGAGGATGCGCAATGGTAGCTGAAAGAGAGAAGCTGGAGGCTCGGCACATTCCTCGAGCCAGTCCAGCGACAGCTGCTCCAGTTGAGAGCAGTGACGAGAGAGATAATCCAAGCCGGATTTGTCTATCAGGCTGGCGGTCTTCCTTCCATGTCGTTCCTTGCCCGCAAGTAGCTTCATTTTCCCCATGAAGCTCCGAGTAGAGTAGGATGACCAGGAAACTAACAGAGCAATATTTCCACCGAGAAATTCAACCACCTGCCTAAAGACAGCTCCATAGGCCACCGTCGCTTCGACTTTGCAGTGAACGCCTACAAGAGCAGCAGAATGACCGGGTCGCAGCTCCTATTTCATGTCGCATGACTACAACATCATACCTTACGGTGGTACCATGTAGGTCCAGACCAACTGGAGAGGGAAAGAGATTCCAAGTGGAAATTTTCGAATCTGGCAGCAGCAATCCCTTTCCTGTGATGATCTTGCTTGGGAATTTCCTTGCAGTAGCAGCTTTCCCGAATCCCGAGGACACCACCCCCTCCCATACCTAAGATTCGGGCAATGCCGCCAAACCTTTATTCCTTCCGCCAAACCTCGTCAGCTCGCAACCAGGCCTGCGTAGGCGGCCCCGCTGCTGGAAAAGCCAAACCTAGGCTCGTTTGGCGTGCGCCGAACCTGAAAAGTTCCCCAGGTTGGGAATGGGCGAAGAAACCAGATTTATGGGGTGGCTGATGCGATTGAACAGAGCACTAGCTGAGCACTAGTTGAGTGAGCATAGCAGCAGAGCGTCGCAGCGCGATCCACCTCCATGCTGAGCCGCCAACAGTCGCCTTCACTAGCTGACATCGCGAGCATTCCGTAGATTTTTCGATTTTTACAAAACGTGTGGCTTCACTCTCCGTCGCCGAAGCACCACAAGCACAACAAAAACCATCCAACTATCCCCCTCCTAATTCCGCGATCCGCCTTTCCAGTGGCTCTAAGCCGGGTTCTGAATCCTCAAGTAGAGGAATCCGAGGCATTTCCGCCCGGTACGCTGCTCATGACGCAGAGGCAGGAATGCTGCCAGTCTACCAGTAGCAAAACAGGACAATTGTCTACCAATGGCAGCGCTCATAATTGGGAATCTCGGAGATGCGAACAGGATCAGTAGGAATTCGCATTGCAACAGGAAGAAGAAAACGTTTTATTTTGTGGCGGGCCTCCTTTATAGTCACACCAGACGTCTCACTTAGTAACACGGTGCGCCTCCCTTCCATTGAGACAGGTGGGTTCTCCACTCACACAGGAAGCCTCCCTTTTAGTCACACAAAAGGCCTCCTTTAAAGCCTCCGTTATAGTCACATAGGAGGCCTCTCGAGGGCAATCCAGCCAAACGCCCCTCGCCTGAAGTCCTTGAGTACTCTGTGTGCCGCCTGGTTCACATCCCCCATGCACAGCCGATCTGCCAGTGCCTCCAGAAACCTGCAGTGAGGAGAGGGGAGAGGGGAGAGGGGAGAGGGGAGAGGGGAGAGGGGAAGAGCAAGGGAAGAGATGGGAAGACAAACAAGGGAAGAGATGGGAAGACAAACAAGGGAAGAGATGGGAAGACAAACAAGGGAAGAGATGGGAAGACAAACAAGGGAAGAGATGGGAAGACAAACAAGGGAAGAGATGGGAAGACAAACAAGGGAAGAGATGGGAAGATGAACAAGGGAAGAGATGGGAAGACAAACAAGGGAAAAGATGGGAAGATGAACAAGGGAAGAGATGGGAAGACAAACAAGGGAAGAGATGGGAAGACAAACAAGGGAAGAGATGGGAAGAGGAACAAGGGAAGAGATGGGAAGACAAACAAGGGAAGAGATGGGACAACAAACGAGGGAAGAGATGGGACGACAAACAAGGGGATTTCAAGGGCTGTAAATGGGGTGCCATGTGAGCAAGGGGCAGATTGCTCACATGGCATCCCATTTACAGCCCTCGCAATCTGCCCCTTGGTTCACATCACACCCGCCATTCGCAGTCCGGTCCGCCGGCGGAGGCAAAACGTGGGCTACGGGTCGACATGCTGACTTCGAGTGCTCTACAGTGTGCGTCCCATCGGGGTGCAAGCTGGTGAACTATACTATCCAGCTACATATGAGTGCAGTGTGCTCGCAGTTTCCTAATAAAATGGAGCGTGCTCGCCTAATAGGAGAGTGGATCACATGCAAGGAGCTTACTCTTCTCCCGTCAAGCTGTCCGCTCTGATCTTGTACCGGTTGGACAGCACATGGGGACCTGTAGGCAAGCAAGGGAACCCATGGGTGTTAGAGTAATTCGCGGAATATGATCAGAACGAATGGGATGGGATGAGATGGGATGGGATGGGATGGGATGGGATGGGATGGGACGGGATGGGATGGGATGGGATGGGATGGGACGGGACGGGATGGGACGGGATGGGACGGGATGGGATGGGACGGCAGGGAGGGGAGGGGAGGGGAGGGGAGGGGAGGGGAGGGGAGGGGAGGGGAGGGGAGGGGAGGGGAGGGGAGGGGAGGGGAGGGGAGGGAAAGGGATGGCAAGGGAGGGGAGGGAAGAGTTGGCGACTGGTTGGGACGAGACACGGGTGAAGTAAGACGAGATGGATGGGGCACATGGTGAAAGAATGCACTCAGTGGATTCCAGTCATAAAGCACACGCTCGCTCGCATGCGCTCCAGTAAAGCACACAATTACAGCGAATGACACTGCTGGTGAGTCGCTCGCATGTTCTCAGCTAAGCAGCGACTCACCAGCAGTGGGCAGTCGTTTGAGCAGCTCCACCAGAATAGCCGCCACGCCAGCGACAGCATAGGCCGCTTCACCAATGTCGTTGCACATGGCCAGCTGTGCCGCTGCTATTGCCTGGTCCGCTATCCCAACCAGCACTGGGCGGCAGCAGGGAGGGCCTAGTACAAGTAACAAGCGCTCACCAGCAGTGGGCAGTCTCTTGAGCAGCTCCACAAGAATAGCCGCCACGCCAGCGACAGCATAAGCCGCTTCACCAATGTCGTTGCACATGGCCAGCCGTGCCGCGGCTGCCTGGTCCGCTATCCGCGCTGGCAGCACTCCCGGCGCGTCTAGCAGATCCAAGCCCTCTCCCAGCCGCACCCACCTGTTGGACGGCAGTTAACGGCAGGGGAGGGCGGGCAAGAGGGAGCAGGCGCAGGCAAGACGGGGCAGGGGGGAATGAATGCGTGAAGGTGTGTGCTCCCAACCGGCAGCACCCCCGGTGCGTGTAACAGATCCAAGCCCTCTCCCAGCCCCACCCACTTGTTGGCGGGTATTGAGGTAAAGTGGCAGGGCGGGGAAGAAGGGGCAAGGGCGGGCAAGAGGGCGCAAGGAGGAAAGATGTCATAAGGGTGTGTCATCCCATCTGGCATCACTCCCAGCGCGTCAAGCAGGCCCAAGCCAAGCCAAGCCCCCTCCCAGCTGCACCCACCTGTTGGAGGGGGCAGCGGAGTGGATTACAAGGATAGGGGCAGTCAAGGAGGGGGCAAGAGGAGGAATAAGATAATGAAGGCATCAAGACGTGCCGTTTTGACTGGCAGCATTCTCCATGTGTGTGTCGCTGCTAACAGAACAGGTGCAAGCACTGAATCCGCGCGTAATGAGTCGAGTTTTGAGTCGACTCAAAACTCGACCCATGTGTGTGTCGCTGCTTACAGGTGCAAGCACTGAATCACGTGTTGAGAAGGAGAAGGGGGGGATGGGGTGGGGGTGGGGATGGTTGAAGAGACATCAATCCGTTCGATTCAATTCAAACATGAGACGCCTCAGTTCAGTTCAGTTCAGTTCAGTTCAGTTCAGTTCAGTTCAGTAGGCAGCGCAAGGAACTCGATGTCAGGGTTGCCTGCCCTACTCGTTATACTTTGCACCACTTCAGGTCAGGTCAGGTCAGGTCAGGTCAGGTCAGGTCAGGTCAGGTCAGGTCAGGTCAGGTCAGGTCAGGTGAGGTCAGGTCAGGTGAGGTCAGGTCAGAGCTCATCACAGCCTACTTCATTCAGCGAAGGAGCGTGGTGAGGCTTCACGTCACGTCTAACCAGCGGCGATGGAATCCAAACCACCCCAACCCAGCACAGCACAGCACAGCACTGGCTGGCATCCTGTCATGTCACCTCCATTCCACAACCCAGCCTGGCTGAACCGAGCTTGACTTCCTGGCGAGCCCGGCAGCGCAAAGGTTTCGGAGGTGCGTATACCTGCGGACTCATCCGAACCTGTTGATTTAACCACAGTTGAGTTGACCCCGTTTGACTCACTTGACCTCCCGTGTGACCCCGTTTGACTCACTTGACCTCCCGTGTGACCCCGTTTGACTCACTTGACCTCCCGTGAGACCCCGTTTGACTCACTTGACCTCCCGTGTGACCCCGGGCCTGGGAGCGCTGGCGACAACTCGGCGATTCAGTAGACGATTGATGACTGCCGACTTGCCCACGTTGGGGAATCCCACCACTGCTGCCCTCACCTGATGGATTAAGCAAGGATAGGATGTTAGGGATGGGGAGAGGGCAGAAGAGTGAGAGGAGACGTGGCGTTGAGGAGAGGGAAGAACGTGGATAAGCAGACGGTTGATGACAGCCGACTTGCCCACGTTGGGGAATCCCACCACTGCTGCCCTCACCTGATGGATTAAGCAAGGATAGGATGTTAGGGATGGGGAGAGGGCAGAAGAGTGAGAGGAGACGTGGGGTTGAGGAGAGGGAAGAACGTGGATAAGCAGACGGTTGATGACAGCCGACTTGCCCACGTTGGGGAACCCCACCATCACTGCGCGCACCTGATGCACAGTGGGGGGAAGGGAGCGGAAGGGCAGACAAAAAGGGGGAAAAGAGTGGGTGGGCAGTCAGTTACTTACGGGTGACTTGCCCACATTGGGTGATTCCACCACTGCTTCCCGCACCTGATGCACGGTGGGGAGTAGCAGGTGGGGGGACGGGGAGGGAAAGGGTGAACATAAGGGGGAAGGAAGTAGGTGAGCAGTCAGTTGATTACGGCTGACTTGTCCACGATGCGTAGTTCCACCACTGCTGCCCACACCTGATGCACGCAAGCCAAGTGGTGGATAGGCTGGCTTGGGGAAGCTGTGATGATAGCAAGGGGGATGAGTAAAAGGATGACGGAGAAGGGAGGACGGAGGGGAGAAGGGAGGACGGAGGGGAGAAGGGAGGATGGAGGAGAGAGTGGGGAAGACAATCGACAGAGAGGGCTATGGCTTGGCCTTGACGGCCAAGCTAGAATATAATGAAACTCAAACACACTGCGTTTTAATATTAAGTGAGACTACAATGAGCAGACGGCACACACCGAGTCACGCACATCCCATGCGGAATGGCCGCCCACTGCTGCTCCCAACCTGCGGCAATTCTTGCAGAGCCTCAAACAATCCTCGAGGGACCTCAAACGATTCTTGAGGCATCTGTATTTATTTATTTATTCAACTTTTAGCATCGATAAAACTGGCTGCACACTGTTGCTCCCAGCACTGTGAGAGAGAATTGAGGACTCTCAAAAACCTATTCTCACAAGGAATGGCTTTACCACCACACATGATGGGAAAGACGCCAAGCCTTACAGCGCGCGGGCGGAGTCCCTTGTCTCGTCTGCGAGTGTTGATGGCCTTGCTGACGCTCATTGCCTGGCGAGTGAGCTTCAGAATGCCCTGGAGAGAGTGGGGGGGGGGGGGAGACGACGGGCGAGGGTGCACAGAAGGAGGGCCCGAGAAGAAAGAATTGAAGGTAATGCCAACCCAAGGGCACGGAGGAGTGTGATTTGTTGGAAAAAAACTCTGAAATGAGTCGTGTTTTGAGTCGACTCGAAACAAGAATTGGAGGTGATGCCAAGGGCATGGACGACGGCGATTTGATGGAAAATGACTCTAGAATGAAGGGGGTGGGGAAGACTAACGGCTGGGGTTTGAGGTGGGGGGTTGGGGGGAAATGCTATCAAGGTCTGCCTGGCTAGTGCCTGGCTTCTGTTGGCTAGTTCCTGAGGACCTGAGGTTTCTGGTTGGCTTGTTGAGAATGATCAAGAAGTAACTAGGGAGGAGAGGAGGGTGGCGTCCAGGCGGGTAACTGCTGCAGATGAGAGCTCAATCTCGGTTGACTGCAAGAGCTGCTTTTGAGTCGACTCAAATGCACGAGCTGGTATCACAACTAGTTCTTGCAATGTGAAAACATGGAGGCTTCCCCCTACGCCCTCTCATCCATGTCATGCCATGCCATGCCATGCCATGCCATGTCATGCCATGCCATGCCATGCCATGGCACATACTGACCCATGCTGCCCATCAGTGAAGCAGAAGCAAGCCACATCCTGCTGCCCTGCCCCCCACAGTACTCCGCCCATGACCCTCCCATGCCATACCCTCCCATGCCACATACTGCCACGCAATGCCATGCCACATACCGACCCACACCACAACCCATGGCACATACCAACCCATGCCACATACCGACCCACACCACAACCCATGGCACATACCGACCCATGCCACATACCGACCCACACCACAACCCATGGCACATACCGACCCATGCCACATACCGACCCACACCACAACCCATGGCACAAACCAACCCATGCCACATACCGACCCACACCACAACCCATGGCACATACCGACCCATGCCACATACCGACCCACACCACAACCCATGGCACATACCGACCCATGCCACATACCGACCCACACCACAACCCATGGCACATACCGACCCATGCCACATACCGACCCATGCTGCCCATCAGTGAAGCAGAAGCCAGCGACATCCTGCTGCTGTCTCCCGTAGAACTCCGCCCACGCCTTCCTGTCCCCCGCTGTCACCATGTCCTCTCGGTTCAGCACCAGCACCTTGGGCTTGCCGCCTATCCACTCGTCCAGCTGCAATGCAATCATACTCAGGTTTGAAGGAATAGAAGGGGAATTGCGCACAAGGGTCTACCCCCCATAATACTCCGCCCACGCCCTGCTGTCCCCCACTGTCACTATGTCCTCGCGATTCAACACCATAAGACCTTTGGCTTGCCGCCAATCACATAAGACCTTTGGCTTGCCGCCAATCACATAAGACCTTTGGCTTGCCGCCAATCTCATAAGACCTTTGGCTTGCCGCCAATCACATAGGACCTTTGGCTTGCCGCCAATCCCCTCATTGAGGGAAGGTGGATGACAATTCACCTTCTTTGGGTTGCTTCATCATGTGGAGCTCTTAGAATTTCAAAAAATGACTCCAACATAGAATTTCTCATGCAGAGCAGCAGGAGCACATGATAGCGAGTTTCACAGGAATTTTACTTTCGAGAATTCTCAACAACAGACTCACCTGGCTTCGGGTGCGTGGTGGCTTGTGGTATTCTACTGTCCCGCACCTCAATCATCACCACAGCTGCTGCTGCTTTTGAGGTGCCTAGAAAGGGTCGGACGTTACCATCAGGTTGTGTGTGTGTGTGTGTGTTGCCACACGTGACAACCACCACGCCAACTCACCTGATAGGCGCCTCAGAGAAAGGCGCACCTGCGGGTGCGTGGTGGCTTGCGGTATTCTGGCGTCGCGCACCTCTATCACCACATCCACCCTCTGCAGCTGGTGTTGCTGCTCTGCTCTGCTACCTACTTGTGTTGTATTCTCTCTCACCATGAGGCTGTGGTGTGGTGCGCTGCAGCAGCGCAGAAACCAACCACCAAGCGCCTCAGCAACAGACTCACTCACCTGCGGGTGAGTGGTGGCGAGCAGTATTCTGGCGTCGCGCACTACAATCACCACGTCCACCCACAGCAGCTGCTGCAGCTGTCACTTGTCACCACAAGATTGTGGAGTTCCCATGCCTCAGAAACAGACAGAATAACCTGGTGCCCAGTGAGTGCATGCATGCATGGGGACGAGTTTCTCAGGCGCCCCAGAAAAAGACTCACCTGCGGGTGCGTGCGTGGTGGCTTGCGGTATTCTGGCATCCCGCACCTCAATCACCACGTCCACCCACCGCAGCTGCTGCTGCTACTTGTGACCGTGAGATTGTGGAGTGTTGCCGCATGTGACAACCACACCAACTCACCTGCGGGTGCGTGGTGGCTTGCGGTATTCTGGCGTCGCGCACCTCAATGACCACATCCACCCACCGCAGCTGCTCCTTCAGGTCCCTCTCCGCCTTGGCTATGTGCCCCGGGTACCACTGATACGAGGGGAACGCGGGAAGGGGAGGGGAGGGTTGATGAAGGTGGGGGTGGGACTTAGAAAAGTTGCTTCAGGTCGCTCTCCGCCTTCAAGGTTCGCGGTCTAGGGTTTGCGGTTTAGGGTTCGAGGTCTAGGGTTCGCGGTCTAGGGTTCGCGATCTAGGGGTCTAGGGTTCGCGGTCTAGGGTTCGCGGTCTAGGGTTCGCGGTCGAGGGTTCGAGGTCTAAGGTTCGAGGTATGGAGTTTGAGGTTCTACAGGCGGAAGAACCAAGAAAGTGCACGCCGTGCGGAATGCAGGAACCATTTGAAGCTCCAGGATCCATAGATTCTTAATTCCACATGCAATCTACACAAAAACACCTCCTACCCTCTGTCTTGCTCCCCCCCTCTCTCCCTCCTTTCCCCGCCCCTCTCCCTTTTGGGTCTTCCTCCCATCCCACACTACCCCAGATCCCCGGGCGTCAAATTACTGTGTTTAGGTGTTCAATTTCCCCCCAGGTTCTGCCGCTGGTTGTACCTGCACCAGCCGAACCGTCCTAGTCAGGAAGTCCATGTCAGCTGCCACGTCAGCCCATCGCTGCTGGTGCTGATCCAATATCAGCCTATCCGAGGAGCCCACGTCAGCAGAGCCACTGAGCTCTTTCGCCATTCCCGGTTTCCTCCGCTCTTCCTGTCCATATTTCGCTGCTGCGTCTGAAACTTGCGCACGTCTTCCGCTTCTACTTTGCGCGGATTGCGTGCCAGAAGCTGCGCGCGTGGCTCCGCGGAGGCGGAGCAAGTCTGGCGCTGGCGGAACGGGGGTGGCGGAAGCGGTGGGAGCCGAGCTGGGTGACGGCACTGAAACAGACACACGGGATTCGCTGAACCTGGACGCGATATTGCGTGTCGCAAGACTAACGAAACATTGCGAAGAAATGGGGTGACATGGGCCAAGCGAGGTAACTTCGAGTGCCCCTAAAGATACCGCCTGCTGGTTACTAAAGCTGACTGCCATGGCTTTCTAAAACCGTGAGCAATTCTCCTGCTCAGTCTCTGATGTGCTTGTTGCTCTGGCACGGGCTTTAGCGAAACGAGTTACCGATCTGTAACATGAAGGTTTCAATGGTCGCGCGCGACTTCGCCGGACCTGAAACCTACTGCGGAGTACATCTGCACCGTTTGCCACGTCACCCTGTTGGGAATGGCAATATGACGTGTTTGGCCTCGAGATTGACGGAAGCAGCAGCGCTTGCAGTGGGTGGATAAAATTTGTGTCGGACACTGAACAGACCGCGTGAACCAAAATCGTTCCATTTCGTTTCATTTCCAAAAGCGTGTGTCACAGAGTTCAATCTATGTTGGGTGAATCGGATGCTGAGTACGATGCTGGGTTCAAAACTCTACGGGCCACGGTCTTGTGAGCTGAGCCCCACGGTTCACGATTCACGCACATCTGGTGTTGGTTGAATGATGTAACCTACCACAATCCCTTAATTGTTGCTAAGCAGAGTCGGCTGCGGTCGTTTTCCGCGTGTAGGCTCCGACAATGCCGCGTCGTCGTGAGATGACATCGCACGGTTAAGGTCGCACAGCGCCATGTCGCACCTGTCGCACGGCGGGGCTGCTGGCCGACGAGGCCAGCACGAAATTTGTCGTGCTCTCCGAGCCCGCTACAGCCGCGCGTCGCAACAGCAGGCAGCCACAGAAACTGCTACAGCCGGCAGGATTGACCGTGGGCTACGCACGCGAACCATCCGAGCCATTTCCGGCTCGGCCACACGCGCTGGTGTTTTCTCACCCGTTCACAGGAGCTTCTTATCCGCTCTCTCCACCCGCAACGCTTGCGCTCGTCTCGCGAGCAGTACCGTCCGTCAAAATGGCCATTCGCGCCGCCTCACCTCCGGTAACTTCGACCAGCCTCGTCTGTCAGCCGTCATCAGCCAGCCGGCTAGCAGCCGGCCATGGGAGAGGGTGCCTTGGGAGAGAGGAGTAGCGCCAGCAGCGAGTGTGTCAGCCCGAACGGGGGCTTCCCGTGACCCCCCTCTCACCTCCATTGGCTCTTCCGACCGCCAGAGGCTCTCTTTCGCCAGCGCATTTGCCAAGCCCTTCGCCAGCCATTTCGCCAATCCTTTCGCCAACACCGTCGCGAGTCCTTTCGCGAACACGTTCGGGCGTCAGGGCGGCGCTCGCGGGGTATCAAGCGACACGGACTTGAAGGAGGTGTCTGAGACGCTCGCTATAGTGTCACTCGTTAAAGCGTTCAGAGACAGAGGTCACTACGTCGCACAGCTAGGTACGAACCAGCGGGAACAGATGAAAAGAATGGAATACTTCAGTACCTTGCCATCGTTTGAGCTCTATTTGCCTCCTGTCAAGCAAGACCGGCCCCTTTCCTCCCTTTTTCGCATTTCCTTCTTCTACCATGCATGTCCCTTCTCTCACCTCCCACACCCACATATGCCAATCCACTGACCCCTGGCAGACCCTTTGGGCCGTCACTTAGGCCCCCTCAAGGACAATGCACAGCCCCCTGCTGCGGCGGCTGCAGCAGCTGCTGCCAATTCCTCGTTCACTAAACCAGGCAGCAAGGGCAAGGCGTGGGCGCTAGCTGGGTTGAGCAGGACATCACAGGTCACAGGTGCTGCTGGCAGGAAGGGGACCGGTGCTGCTGGCAGCACTGCCGCATCAGCTCTGCCCGAACCTGAGAACGCGCCGGACCTGTTTCGCCTGCTTCGGAACTACCCGGAGCTGGACCTGGGCGCGGTTGGTCTGGCAGGCATTGACGTGAAGAAGAGGTACGTCTGTAAATGCGTCCTTACATTAAAGAATAAGCGTAACTCTGAGCGACACTATGTGTCTCAGAACACACCATCATGAATGTGTTCTGAGAATGAGCGTACAGTACGAGGTTACCCGTGCACCACCACAACCCATATGCTCGCACGGGTACAGTGGAATTAACATACCCATGATTGAAAACATTCTTATCATGCAATCGCTCTTTCAAACCGTCCTGGCAGGCAGGCAGGTACTCCCCGGAGCCTGAGATTGGCGCTCTGCTGCTTATAATGCATGCAGCACAATGCATACTGCTGCACGAGCACAGTAGAGTGCGCACATCTGACGAGCAAGCAGCAAAAGCTGCCTGGACGATCGAGGAGGTGTTTTGGGGCTGCTCACAGCCAAGCCACCTTACGCCCTTACCTTGCCCCCATCTCCCTTCCCACTCCCTCTTAACGCATTCCTCGCAGGTACTTCCTGGGGGAGCAGCTGCGCATCGTGCGGGCAGCGCAGCTGTTCTGGACGGTGGAGGAGGTGGTGGGGCTGCTGCGAAACGCATACTGCCGCACGAGCACAGTGGAGTGCGCGCACCTGGCGAGCAAGCAGCAGAAGCGGTGGGTGCAGGCCGCCATGGAGCGCCCTCCCCTGCGCCAGCTCTTCTCCCCAACCCAGCAGCGCCAGCTGCTGCACCGCCTGCTGTACGCAGGTGACCCTCTTGGAGTGGGTGGGTGAGTGAGAACCGGGTTGAGTGAAAGTGCGTCTGCCATGCACACTGCTGTATGCATGTGAGCAGTGGGATGGGTGAGGGAACCAATACCCATCTATGAGGTGCGGTCAAAGAATCTGCAAGGGAAAATCCATTAGTCCTAAAGCATGGATGCAGAGAAGTTGCAGCTTGCACCCTCGTCACCACCAACTGCTGCTCCTGCCCACGCCCTTCCTCTCTGCACACAGACGCCTTGGATCACTTTCTCGCATGCAAGTTCCTCTCAGTAAAGCGGTTTGACAATGGGGGCGGAGAGGCGCTGGTGCCTCTCTCACCACGCACTCCGCCACTCCTCCCCACCCACCCCAACCCCTGCCTATACCTGAACAGACGCCTTTGAACGCTTTCTTGCGCGCAAGTTCCCCTCGGTGAAGCGGTTTGGCATTGAGGGCGGGGAGGCACTGGTGCCAGGGCTGCTGGCTCTGCTGGGGCGGGCTGCTGGCAGCGGTGTGAAGTTCGTAGAGCTGGGCATGGCACATAGGTGGGTAGGGCATGGCACATAGGTGGGTAGGGCATGGCACATAGGTGGGTAGGGCATGGCACATAGGTGGGTAGGGCATGGTGCATAGATGGGTGTGGTATGGCTCATCGGTGGGCATGGATGGACGGCGGGGAGGTGCTGATGCCGGGCGTCTGGCCCTGCTGGGTCGACCTGCTGGCAGCGGCGTGAAGTTGGTAAAGCTGGGCATGGCACACATCACAGGTGGGTGGCGGGGCGCACAGGTGGGGCCAAATGTAGGGCTCGGAGAGAGGTAGGAGGAAGTGAGAGTCATGGGGCTCATGCAACTTCCCATTTTTTTGCACTTGTCCTTCTCCGTGCATGCAGTGCAATGCAATGACCATATGATGTGCAACCAGCTAAATCTGAGTCGCTTTTGAGAATTCTCAAAAGTTCTCCGTGCATGCCATGCAATGCAATGACCATATGATGTGGTTTTTGAGGCGCCTCAAAAACGATCTCCTTCTCCGTGCATGCAATGCAATGCAATGACCATATGATGTGCAACCAAAATGCTGTGCTGTGCCGATTTTTGGAGACTTTTGAAGAAATCCATACCCAACCCTAGCCCACCCACCCATACCCCACCCAGCACAGCATCTCAGAAATCCGGGTGATCTTCTGCCTCTCCCACCCACCCACCCATACCCAACTTTACTCTCCGTGCCCTTCACTTCACCTTTCCCCCTTCCGTTCCCTGCTTCATCCCCCTCCACCCTTCCCACGTTCCAATAGAGGTCGTCTGAGTGTGCTGCATGCAGTCCTGGGAAAGCCCCTGAGCTCCATCCTATCTGAGTTCAAACCACCTGAAGTTTCACCTGAACTTTCAGAGCTGCTGCAAGTGGGCGATGTCAAATACCACCTGGTATGTGCCTCCAGGTGTCTACCACCCATTACCTCACTTCCTTGGTTTGACACCTTGTTTCTTCCAGCCTTACTTTTAGAGGTCGTCCGTTCACATCTGTATAAGCTGGCAGCATTGTTGCCTTTCTTCGTGGTTTCCTTATGCTCTGCTTGTGTGATGTGGCATGGCGTTGTGTGGCATGGCGTTGTGTGGCATGGCGTTGTGTGGCATGGCGTTGTGTGGCATGGCGTTGTGTGGCATGGCGTTGTGTGGCATGGCGTTGTGTGGCATGGCGTTGTGTGGCATGGCGTTGTGTGGCATGGCGTTGTTTGGCATGGCGTTGTGTGGCATGGCGTTGTGTGGCATGGCGTTGTGTGGCATGGCGTTGTGTGGCATGATTGCACGCCATTGCGTTTCTTGCATTGCATACGTTCTGTGGCATTGCATTGCATTGCATTGCATTGCATTGCATTGCATCGCATCCCATCCCATCACATGGCAGGGAACCCGTTCCACACTTGAGTTTGAAGGCAATCAGGTGAGCACGGTTTCTCTAAATCCAGATGCGATGGATGGGATGCGAAATGAACGAGAGTATTAGAGAGACCACAACACAACACAGCACAGCACAGCACAGCACAGCACAGAACAGCACAGCACAGCACAGCACAGCACAGCACAGCACAGCACAGCACAGCACAGCACAGCACAGCACAGCACAGCACAGCACAGCACAGCACAGCACAGCACAGCACAGCACAGCACAGCACAGCACACACACCACACCCCATTCTTTTCTGACTGTTGCCCTTGCTCCCTATCCTGCCACCTCTGCTCTCCATCCATCTGCTTCAAATTTCTCACTCCTCTTGCACCTCTGTTGCTCGCTCGCCTAGTGCTTCGTCCTAGTGTTCCCCCTCTCTCCCCTGTTGACCATTGCTTGCTTCCCTGTTGACCATCATTGCACTGCACCATGAAAGCCAAATGGAGCTGGTGCCCCAGTGGTGCCCCAGTGGTGCCCCAGTGGTGCCCCAGTGGTGCCCCAGTGGTGCCCCAGTGGTGCCCCAGTGGTGCCCCAGTGGTGCCCCAGTGGTGCCCCAGTGGTGCCCCAGTGGTGCCCCAGTGGTGCCCCAGTGGTGCTGGCGGGGCAAGGGGACTGGAGGTTCAGATAAAAGGCGCACTCCAACTTGTCATTCTGCCATGCCTTGCCATGCCTCATCATGTTCGCTTCGCACCAGTGCAGGTGTAGTGTAGGTGTCCAACCCCAACCATCAGGAGCTGGTGGACCTCACCTTGCCATGCCATACCATCCCACTTTCCATGCTCGCACCAGCGCAGGCAGGTGCAAGTGTCCCTACTACCCAACCCCAGCCATCTGGAGGTGGTGGACGTGCTCGTGGTGGGCAAGGGAGCTTCAATCTTCACTCAGAACCT